ACCGTGCCTTCACTCATATTACCATTAAAGTACGTAAGTCTATTGAAATTTGATGTAATTTAATAATATAATTAAATATTTTTTTTTTATTTTTGCACATTTGCACAATTAGAATATGGTTCCAGCATTTGTTCGAGTAGCTTTGACATTAAAAAGTTTGATAAATGATAAAGTAAATAAAGGAGCATCAACAATTAACCTTTCTCCTATAATTTCCCAAGCTACTTTAGATGTCATTGGCTTAGTTGGTAAGAAATAAATTTTTGTATTTATGAAGCTTATAAATTTCCCACCTTAAAATTTTTTTTTTTTTTCAGGATTTAATCACGAATTTAATTCATTAACGTCTCCAAGTGAATTAGCAGATGCTTATATGTATTTATTTGGCGATAAATTAACTCCTCTTTCTATTTGCATGAGTATTTTATCTACGTATGTTCCATATGTTAGAAAAATTCCAATAAATACAAACAAAAGATTTAATAATGCATGTAAAAGTTATTGAACTCGAATCAAGAAAGTTGCTTGAAGAAAAATACCGTGATGACAGAAATAACAAATTGGATGGAAATGATTTATTGTCTATATTAATAAGAGTTAACAAAACTTTTCCTGTTGAAGAAAAAATGACCGATGTAGAACTTAAACATCAGGTGATTAAAAAACTTTTCGTAAAAAAAAAAAAAATTTGTGTCGTAATTAATCAAATTTTTCATTTATTTTTTGATATTTAGATTAAGACGTTTTTATTAGGAGGACGTGAAACCACAAGTAATTCAATAGCTTGGGCTTTACATCTACTTGCAAAACATCCAGATGTGCAGGATAAATTACGTGAAGAGTTGATTGTAGCTTTTCCTGATAAATCAAAATTTAATCCCAACTTTGACGAAATTAATTCTTTGGAATACCTTAAATGCGTAGTTAAAGAAACGTTAAGATTATATCCTGCAGGTAAAATTTTTTAACAAATTGCAAATTTTCACATAGAAGCTTTAACTAACGATTAAGTTTTATTTTAGTTTCGCTTCTTCAACGTTCTAATATCAAAGATATGATGTTTAACGAGCATTTTATTCCAAAAGTATGTTAATATTTATTTTCTTTATAATAGGTTAAGAAAGTACTTTCTAAAGTTATTAAAAAACAATCTTTTAATAAATAGGGTTCTACAATTGATATCCCAATTGCAGCGCTTCAGAGATTACCTTCAATTTGGGGACCAACTGTGGATAATTTTGATCCCAAAAGATGGTTAAATCCTTCATTAATAAATGATGTTACAAATTACAAATATTTGCCTTTCAGTACTGGTATTAGATCTTGTATAGGTAACAAAATAGCTTTAAGTGAGTTTAAAATATTATTAGGTATGCTGGTTAGAAATTTCACTTTTCGACCCGTTGAAGGATTTGAGGTTAAGAAAAGGGTTGGCATTTTTAGTAAACCTGAACCATATGTTGAATTAATTATTTCAAAGGTTGAAGTTTAATTGTATTTACACTCCGGAAGGTCGAATCAGTTATATGAAGAACTATTGATATTATATTGGTTGGTTTTAAATGGTAGAAAAGATTCAGTGCTTGATGATTTTTAAATTTAGGTTTACTCGGAGGACATTTCAATAAAAGCTGTTTGAAAGCTTTTCGTATTGTGTCAATTTTGTATCAAACATTTTTTTAAATAAATTAGATTCATAGTCATTCATGGCCGGCCATGGGCTGGCCTTAATATTTGAAAGTAACACATATATTTTATTTAATTTTTATAAATATATATATTGTATTATTAAACTGAAAGTTGTTGTGATGCTTTTTGTTTTGAACAAGAATATTTTTTAATTACATCTGGAGATACTATAAATGAATTTTATCTAAATTTTTGAACATCTGATAATTGCTCGATTAATAAATAATTTTTTTCATAATATTTTTTTTATTTTAGGTTAGATCGGTTCCCTCTCTTAGACCAAGAACCGGACGGAACTTTTGCACGGAACCGTCTAGTTCATCACCGCGGCGAAGATATAAAAACGCCTCCAAATTCCTTCCTTTTTGGGAATGGCCATAGTTAACACTATATAAAGTGGAATCACCTGACTCCAAACAACAATATGGCATGAACTGTATGTATATAGTGTTAATTTATTTTTATATAAAAAATTTTTTTAAAAAGTTAACTTATAACGTCATTGCTACGATTGGTGGTTAAAATCTAACTTTTGCAATCAACCGATTTTATTAAAATCGTTTTCGAATCAAAAAACCGCAACCGATTTATGTTGCAACCGATTTAAACCGAATTACACAAACCGGTTTCAAACTCTAAACGTTTCCAATTCTTGTCACAAAGTGTTTCTTGTTGTTATGTTTATTAAAGAACTAGTAGTAGCTTCAGCCTGCAAACAATAAAAAAGAAATGCAGTTAATTACTAATATAAAACTAGAATTAACGAGAAGAATTACAACTTCATAGCCTGTAGCTGATCCTGTATTTTTTGTTCAATTCGATTTTATTTCAATACGCGCTTGATTTCACGAAAAGTTTCACGATGACCCTTAACACGATAATATTAACAAGGCATGACTGTAATTCGATACGGATTACAGAAAGTATGATCCGACCGTAAGGTGAGCAACATTCGTTGTCACCGTAGTTTCGACCGTAATGTAAGCAACATCCCGTAACTATCATTGACCGAATTAGCCTAGCCTATAGTCGGATCAGAATACCAAAAGAAAAAAAATAAATAAAAGTAACTATCATTGACTGTTAATTGAAAAATGAGCAGCTTACTATACACATTAGGTATAGAATTTAACCGGAAATTTGATATTAAGAATCTTCTCGATTCAAAGTAGGATAAAAATTTCGAGATTCAAGGATTTCAGATTTTCAGTATTCTTAATATGGTCCGTCCTTATAACCGAAATTATAAAAATCATACTAGACTCCAGAGATTCGTAATTTATTTTATATACTTTATATCTTATATGAAATTGCTAGATTAGAAAGTTAAGAGACATCGCGACTGAAATGTATTTTTAGAACATTCGATGATTAAATAGGATTGTCTTAAATTTCGTAATTTGAAATCATATTATTTGTTGCCATTATCGGTTAATAGGACGGAAACTCTTTTGCGGTTCTACCTCAGCTTCAACATTTTTAAAGTAAGAGGCCGGTCTAAAATAAAATTATATTATATAAAAAAACGAACATCAATATCTTTTTAAATTCTCAATTAATTGGGAAAAAAATTTCCGCTTATATATTTACCATACTATTGCCAATAATATTTATTTTATCTATTAATACCTTCCCTTAACCGCATTTTGAATATTCATTTTTAATTATATTTTTATATAATGTTTTATAAACCTCTTCATTATTTTTACAATTCGTTATTAATAAATACCTGAAACCATTCGTGTGAAAAATAAATACAAAGGGTTTTGGGCAAAAAAATTTTTTTTATATTAATACCAGTTTCATCCGCTTTCAAACTTTTCCAAATTAAAACAAAAATATTGTCTACTGGAAACATGTATCGAATGACTCTTCAACTCGTTTCTCCCGGTTCATGTTCATTACGTTAATAATGCATTAGTCCGATTAAGTATGGTTGGGACTTGAAATTAGCCCAGCTGGATTAAAAAGGCATTTTGATACCTTGCTTAATCAGTTTGTATTGTTCACAAAATAAAAATAGAAAAAATATATGCGGACCATGATTTATTTAGAATAGAGTTTAGAAACTTTTTTAATTTTCTAATTATGGCTTTTATTCGTAAGATATTAAATATGTTCTCTATAAAGGCAAAGAGCATGAATTTCATCAACAAGCGATAGCTGATAAATCTCTTACAGAAAACGAAGTCGATAAATCATACGCAATGGAAATGGTATCTAAAGTTTGTGAAAGTTGTCAAAATGTATATCATTCAGATTGCAATCATTGTATTCGAAATTATTTAAAAGATTTGTCAAATTGGATGTCCGAAAATGATGAAATAGATGGTTTAATACAGAGATGTCAAAAAGAAAGCAAATTATCAATCAAGCGTCATTGAATGGATCCCAAACAATAATTTACAAAATATAAAATATTTAACCAAAGGTGGATACTCTAAAATATATACGGCAGATTGAATTGGTGGTCGAAAAATTGGAGTTTGCTAAAAATTTCTTTAATGACATCTCTTATCACGACCAAATATTATTATTTACATATGTAGGCACGGATCAAATGATTCAATGTCTCATAAATAGCAAACGATCCCTAAGAAAAATTTTCAATAAATCTTTAAATTTTTTTTATGCAATTTTGAAAAGGCCGTATAAAATCTAATAATTATTTCCTCGCAAAAGCATTATTAAAAATATTTATTTGATAAAAACATCTATAAAACGATTTATATAAGAAATTACATTCGAATTTCGAAAAGATTTCGATCGTTTCGATCGTTTTTTGGTGAGGGTTAATTGACCATAACAATATATATATATATTTTCCTCAATAATTTAATTTAATTTTAAGAATAATTTTATTAATAAAAACCCGTCTAGTTTTATTTTTTTTAAAAAATAAAATAAAATAAAAATAAAATGCGATCGATAACTAGAAAAAAAAAATAATTATATTTTATTTATTTATTTTATTTTTTTTTATTTTTAAGTCGGAGATAAATTTGTTCAATATTTAATCTCGTCAAAAAATGCTATAAAATTGGTTTTTTTTTACATGTATATATAATGTAAAAAACGTATGAATTAAAAACTAACTTAAATATATTATTAATTTATTCACTCTTTATTACTTAATATTTAAATATGACAAATAAATAGGTTATAAAAAAAAATGTTCAAAATGTTCAAATGATATTTACAACTAATTATGCGTAAAAAAAAAAAAAAAACCTGACATAAAAATCTATAATAAATTTCTATAATATTGAAAAATGATAAAATAAAATGAAAGAAATATATTCAAAATAAAATTATTCAATATACTTTCTAAAAATACTTGAAAAGTTCAAAATGAAGTTTGTAAACTTTAAACTACAATTTCTAATAAAGGTTCTAAGAAGGCCAACAGGAGCGGACATGTTCAATGCCATAGATCTAGATTTTAACACGTCGACGGTTGATCTTTTTCGCATTTCATTTTCATATTCTTGAATGCAGGAAATAGGTTCTTCTGATGAATAATTAATTAATGCTTGGGAGAGTAGATCGGCATCTTGGAAAGCATTGTTTGTTCCTAATCCAAGTACAGGGTTCATAGCATGAACAGCATCTCCTAATAATGTTACTCGACTACTTGTCCAAGGTTGAATAGATGATGGATTAATATC